TAGCCTCAGGCCCTTCACCGGGACCTGATGTTGCAAAGTCCCTTACTATTTGGGACTCGCCTTCCTTAATGTTGCCAACACATGAGGCGGTCAGAGAGATTCTCTCTATCCTTGATGAAGATTTCGCGGGGATGTCTCTCAACCCAACTATTAAAGCGCCTAGAGTACGGCGTGATGACTATCCTATTCATGGCTTGGACTTTGCCCAGACAGTGACTAAGGTGGATGAGGAAATGAAACGTGTGACAGGCTCTTCCTCTGTCTCCTCCTATAAAGTTCAGGATACAAGGGTCGCGGCTTTGGACTTAGAGCTTAAGCGTATGCTCCGCCCTATACCGGCATTGGCGTCAGCGACTGATGCCATCACTCAGGATCTTAAGGAAATAAATCCGGATCGACTGGATCATCTCACAACTATGATGCTATGGCAGGGCAAAGTGGTCACTGACCTGCGTGAGCACCTTAGGTCGGTGCTTGCCAACGCGTGCGTAATTCGTCGGCAAGGCTTCCTCTCCTTTTCTTCATGGGATTCGGAATTTCAGCGGAAATTATTCCACCAACCCTGGTCATCGTCGTCACTGTTTAACGATGCCATTCATGATTTATCGGCAGGTGTGTGATTTTGCCAAAGGGGAGACTGCCTTGAAAGCGTTTCAAAAGGGACAACGCCCTTCCTCCACGTCATCCAACACCTACCAGCCTCGGCGACCGTCTGTTCGGCGTGCCAGAAACTCAGCGCCGTCTCGTGGCAGGGGACGTGGTGCCAAGCCTAGATCAGACAGGGGTGGATATCAACGTCGCCGTGCTCCTGCCCAGGGCGACGGGCGTAGGGGCAAGTGAAGTGAGGGACACGCACGACTGGACACTCCCACCTCCAGTCGTCCCAGTTTATCCTACACCGGTAGGTGGGAGAATAGGGATCTTTTGGGAAAATTGGTCCATCCTAGAGGATCCATACGTCACCGATATATTGAGGCAGGGGTTTCGGCTCCCCCCTCCTCTCCGATCCACCTCTGACACTGTTCCCGCTCCGGCACAATCACTCTCAGGTTCAACACGACCTTCTAGCGGAGAACATAGCGATTTTGTTGGAGAAAAGAGCCATCGAATTACTCCCGTATCCCATCATAACACCAGGGTTTTATTCTCCAATATTCTTAGTGCCGAAGAAAGGGTCCGCGAAAATGAGGATGAATCACAATCTGTCCTATTTCAATGAGAATTTCCTGGAACGTCCTCCGCACTTCCGAATGATGTCCCTCGAATACCTCAAATCTATGGTATGCGTTAACGACTTCCTCATCAGCCTGGACCTACAGGATGCATACCTCCATGTTCCAATATGCCCCAGCGACAGGAAGTACCTGCGCTTTATTTTCAACAATCAACATTTCCAATGGGCTGAATTTCAACGGCCCCGTGGTTGTTCACACGTATCACAACTCCTATTTCCCGGTATCTTCATTTGAGGGGCATCAATTTTGACCCGTACCTGGACGATTGCCTTATGCACCTGTTAGACCGTCTACTTCTTATACAACAACAGGATTTCACCCTTCGTCTGTTGCGCCAACTAGGGTGGCTGGTCAACTTGGACAAATCGGAGCTTGTCCCGACTCACACTCTGACATTCATCGGAGGCCATTTCCAGATGGACAAAAACCTAGTTCAGATTCCTCGGGACAGGTGGGACAAGATTCAGTCTCTGATTCCACGTGCGCTCTCCCAACCTCTGTCCCTCAGAGAGTGGCAGTCGCTTCTGGGATTGTTGACGTTGGCACAGGATCTTACCAGCAGAGGGCGTCTTCAACTTCGTCCTCTGCAGCGCTTTCTTCAACCATACATTCGTCGGGCAGACGTTCATCAACGGTTTTGCCTTCCACCTCAGTTACATCGCTATCTTCTTTGGTGGACTCGCCCATTGAACGTCTTAGGAGGAGTCTCTTTGACAGAGCAGCCTCCGGATTGCCAACTGTTCGTGGACGCCTCCCTGCAGGGTTGGGGCGCTCACTTACACGACCCGACAGCCTCCGGCCTGTGGTCGGGTCAACACAGCAACTGGCATATAAACAGTCTGGAGTTGGAGGCCTTGATCCTCGCTATTCATCATTGGGCATATCGACTACGAGGAACTTGTCTTCTAGTGGCCACAGACAACACCACCGTCGTATGGTACATACGAAGGCAAGGGTCGACACGCTCACAGCTTCTCCTCGATCAGACTTTTCGGCTCTTTCAACTGGTCGACAATCTCCACATTCTGTTGAGAGTTCGGCATATTCCGGGGTGCCGCAATATACTAGCAGACGCTCTCTCGAGACCCGACAGAGTTGCTCCCACGGAGTGGATGCTACACAAGGAGGCCTTCACTCTCCTAAGTCACGCACTGGGTTCTCCAAACATAGATCTGTTTGCCACCAGCCAAAACCATCAACTGCCAGTGTATGTATCCCCAGTCCCGGATCCAGCGGCTTGGGCGGTGGATGCTCTCAGCCTATCGTGGGAGGGACTTCACGCATATGCGTTTCCGCCACCAGTTCTATTACCCAAAGTTCTCGCAAAAGTCAAGGAGACAACTTGCCTACGACTGATTTTGGTCGCGCCTTGGTGGCTGGCCAGGAACTGGTTTCCCGCTCTAAAAAATCTAGTGGTAGGAGATCCCTTCCCTCTACCCACGTGGAGGAACGTTCTCGTGCACCCTCACAGCCGTCTTCCGCATCCGGCTCCAGACCGATTCAATCTGCACGCATGGACCATTTGCAGAAAGCACTGAGTGCTAAGGGTTTTTTCGGCTAGAGCAGCCAAAGCCATTGCGACGGTGCACAGAACTTCTACTAGACATTTGTATGACGACAAGTGGCAGTCGTTTGAACGCTTTTGTGTTACCAGGAAGCAGGATCCGCTGAAAGTGTCTCCTCAGTTCATAGCAGACTTCTTACTTTATCTCCGAACGTCCAGGCGTCTGAAGGGAGGCACCATTGCCACGTATCTGGCGGCAATTAGCTCTGTTTTAGCGATTCCCACTGACAGAAGGATTTCCAAAATCCCAGAATTACAGGCCATGCTTCGCTCATTCCGACTTGAAGACCAGAAGTTGAAGTTTCGTCCGCCGGCATGGAATCTCAACACTGTTTTAGACCATCTCCGTGGTGCACCTTATGAACCTCTTGATAACGCTTCCCTCGCTGATTTATCCAGGTAGACGGCTTTTCTGTTAGCTAGAGTGAGTTAGGTTCACGCCCTTGACGTGACTAGGATCAAGTTTGAACGTCGTCGTCATGGTTCTGTGCACTTAGGTCTGTGTTGGGATTTCATCGCTAAAAACCAACTACCAGGTCAACCTGATCGACAGTTTTCCATCCCGCCATTATCATCTATTGTTGGCTCTGAAGACGATAAGGAATTACTGTTATGTCCGATTCGTGCGCTCAAAACTTACATTGATCGCACCAAAGGCGTCCGTGGTACAAGGAAACGGTTATTTCTTCCCCTGTCCCGGGTGTCACAGTCAGATGTCAGCAAAAACACAATTGCCTTATGGTTAAGAACAACCATTCTTCAGGCATATAAAGCGGCTGGGCTGGACCCTCCTACATCCTCTCATCCCCACGAGATTCGAGCACTTGCTTCGACTATGGCACTTCACAGTAATTGCACTGTGTCATCCATTATGCAAGGTTGTTTTTTTGGCGGTCGGACACAGTGTTTGCCAGTCATTACTTGCGTGACATGGCTGTCAAGGACGTTAATGATGTCCACAGCTTCGGACCATTGGTGGTTGCTCAGCAACTCGCCATTCCCCGAAGAAAGTGACCCTCCTGCCTTGTGTTTTCCTTCCCACGGACCACCATGTGGGGAATGAGTTGTTTTTCTTCAGAAACAACTAGGTATGTCAGTTAAGGAGTTATCCTTGTTTTTTCAAAATTAGTGGTTTCTTTTCATTTAAGACGCAGTCTTATTTGCGAATTACCGCTACCTGATCGTCACTCGCTAATTCGCTCTCTGTTATAGGCGCGTTATCAACGCTTCCCGAGCACGGGATTACGGATTGAGCTGGCTGCTATTACGTAAGCGAGGCAATCCCTCAGATGACACGCACACCTTCCAGCCTGTCGGATAAAGTGCAGGAAGTAAGTAGTGCAGGATTAGTTAAAAATTTAGTAAAATCTAAATATTTTTTTATATTTGTATACTTATCCTGCACTACTTATGATAAGGGCCCACCCTGTGCTATCAGCTACCTCCCCGCTTACTTTTGCCATCTGTGGGATTTCTGGCAATAATCTGAGGTGGCTGACGTCACCTTCCGGTGACGCATGCGCAGACGAGTAAGCAGCCGAGACCAGGAAGTGATTGCAGTTCTACGTCTTTTTGACATCGTCTGGCAAGCCACGCTTTTCGAGCCGTAAGCAATAAGTGCAGGAAGTAAGTAGTGCAGGATAAGTATACAAATATAAAAAATATTTAGATTTTACTAATATTTTCGCAAGAAGCCATCCTTGAATATTGACAAAAACGCTATTTTCTGCGACTGTTTACTCATTGCATGTATCACTCGGAAGCGATCGTGCGGAAAACAGCATTCAGAATCGTACAAGTTTTTTAGGTAAAGGTTCAAATGGTATGTGCGAATGTTAACTTTCGCGATTTGGTAAGCTGTGATCTGATTGGTCAATCCAAAAGGTTAGCTGACGCGACCTTCTACAAGGTTTTGTTAGACTCAGTATAGCAGTGCAACGAATAATACTGAGCCGAAGTTTACTTAGACTGGTTGATCCCAAACACCTGTATTGAATGGTTAATTGTTTAGGGCCTGGTGTAAGTTGATCATGAAATAGACTTGTCTGAACCAATGGGTATGATTGTATTTGAATCTTGTACTGTTTGTCCATCGTAAATTTCAACTTTCATTGTAACTTGTATCAACTTATTTATCTTTACAGGAAACTATTACTGAACAGATCTTTATCAGATGCCCAACCACAAATAGTACTCAATGCTTATCCACAGTCCATGTATTTGTTTACAAGTGATCTCATTTTACAAATTTGCTATAACAATGTACAAATGTTTGGAGAGAAAATCAGTCATTCATTATGTTCAAAAAGTTATTTTCATTAGTATCTGTACAGGACAGATTGTAAAAATAATATACTTTCAACATTTTGACGGAAGAAGTACTTCACTATGAACACTTTCTATCTCTTGCAAATTTAATATATTGTATCTTGAGCTTGTCCACAGTGTTCCTGAAATGAAAATACACTTCTTAGTATGTTACATCTAATTAGAGTATGTAAATATTCAAAATATGTTATTACATATGGAGGGAAGAGATAACACACCATCTACTCCAAGCATTTCATGATGTGTTTCCAGAATTCTCATAAGTATTTTATTTTATATGTAAATTTCTGGAAGTTATAAAAGGGTTATTATGATGATTAGATGTATCCTTAGGTTTTTCATACACATGTAATGGCCTTAAGTTATGGTGTGATTTTAATATATGTACCATATCAATATGTGAAGATTCCTGTAATGAGCACATAGACTCTAATTACATTTAATATTGTTTAGTATGTTACATCTAATTAGAGTATGTAACATCGTGCTTCTCACTCATGAACGACAGAGGCATCCAAGTTGGGGTTAAAAGTTTTAATAAACCTTCTTCGCACATCGGCGGTTACATTTGAACTGAGATGGGAAACACATGTACAGGTACTTCCGGAAGATACAAGGGAGTTAATTGTTTTTGTATTTTACATACCGCTAAAAACAAATGAGTAAAGTGACTGATGCGTATGTACAATATTCACAAAGCAATATAACTACAGTTTACTCCAACACTTAGGACACTTGTTTGCATGATTCATGCCCTTAATATATCATACAAAATGCTTCATTATAATGGATTTTGTGAATTTTTTAAATTAAAATGTCATTCATTTCGAACTTATCTGATAGTTTTAGACAAGTAAGGTACTCAGCTTTAGGGCTAGCAGCAGGGATTCCTAGTCCCATCCCTAGTGGTAAGCAACCAGGCAATGTTACCAGCTGGAGTCCACTTGAAACACCTCAACTATATCAATTGAAAAAGATAGCTGATTTATACTGATTTCAGGAATACATTGATGAAAATACTTGAATATTTGCAGTTGTCAAATATATATTAAAATAAACTTCAGATTGATCTTTTGTGTTCTTGTTCTTTCATTTCTTTTAAAGGTCAGTGATAGTTGTTTTTGTTCACTCTTTATTTCTTTCTTTGAGTAATGGAGCTTGTAATTTATCAATAAACAGCAAACCTGAAAAATCTTACTGGAGATTGGGCGATAAATTGCAGGAATGTGGTTTAGAATATCAATTTTTTTTATGCGCTCATTCGCCCTTTCTACGTGTATCCTGGCTCTTGCAATTTTGTAACACATTTTACCTTCCTCTTTTGTGAAAACACACTTACCTGACGGAAATGGAGGGATATTTAAACTTACACCTGGTGGCAACATTTCATGAATAGTAAAACCCTTGTCAGCTAAAAAAGATCACCTGGTTTGAAAGTAGACAACATATTTGAATGGCTAACAATAGCTACATCTGATGTTGACCCAGGATACAGACTGGTGCAATATGTTAGAGCGCCATTAGGTGCCACAGCTGTCACAGCTTTAACAGTATGGTGGGACTTGTAGTTGCTGTACCCTCTATTTTGACAGTCAAGGTCTTTGGGGATATCCTGAGACATCTCTATAGCATCGATAGATGCCCTAGCACTACCAAAATCTTCAAAAGACTTAGGCATGCTGCCTTTACACTTAGTCTGACTGGGCATGTAGTTATCCATAACACCTGAAAAGAGTTCATGTAAAGCATAGATGAGGGTATTGAAGATATTGGAAACCGTAGCACGGCTGATTTGAAATCTTTGGGCCAAATCGAGATCTTTGCTGTTTATGGTAAGTTTCATGAGAGTTAACAAAAGCTGATTTTCCAAGGATACAATTGATGGTTTCCATCCAGCATAGTAGTTGAGGTCGAAGCGTTCCAGCATGGAGCAGATGATCTTGAAGACATCGTAGGGTATGCTTGTGTAGAGTAGCATCTGTATACACAAATTCAATACCAGTACTTCAACATATTTAGCACCCAGTCCTGCTCTCAACACACACACACCACAACACTCATAAACATGTTTGAGGTTTACTTAGATTGTATACATACCTATTCTTATTAGAGGAGGGTTTTCAGGTGTGCTAATAATATTATGTTGCCACTACAATTAATTTAACAATGTATGTTCAATGCAACCGCAACATTTTAAGTGTTTTTTTTTTATGTGTACAGGTGAATGACAAGTGACTTAAGTTCCCATCATTTTCAATTTTGTCAAGGCCAAGGGGTAGTGATAAATGAGAAAGTAAAACAAAATTATTATATACATTTGTTTATGCTGTTTAAATCTATTATTTGTTAACCAACCATTTCTTCACTGTCACTTATACGTTGATAGAAAAGGTGGAAAAGGATAGAAAAAGTGGATTTCCTGCTCCAGAGACTTGATTGTGGCCTTCAAGTCTTGGACTTCAGCCATTAACGAAGTCAGCTTCCCCATGTTCTATCACCTAGGGTACAAATATTGGTATTGGAAGAATAAATTCAGCACAAAGATCTAGAGAAGTACAAAATTATGAAATTAGTAAGTATAATGTGCTATATGTTTTCTAAACAAACATTGATTTAAACTGACATGAAAAATACTTACTACATCCGTCCTTCCATTGTGTTCAGGTTCAGCTAGGACATCTGGACTCTGAGCCAGTGGGATTGCCGGTACATCACTGCACTCCAAAGGCACACTCCTTTTTCTGTAGGAAAATGTAATTTTTGAGTAAAATTGATATTTTATACTTATCCTGACTCATGCTCTTTTGCTTGTCCCCTTCCTCTTGCGAACATAGTGGAACACTTGTATCTCCTTAATTGAAGCTCCCTTCAATGTAAAATCACTAATTGGTACTCACCCAAGAGTTGCCTCCCCTGCCGTAAGCGCGGGAACAGGTGTCGCCACCCTCTGGCCTCATGCTTCACTCTCTCCTGATTTTGCGAGCCCAACACTTGAATTTACAGGGAAATCCAAAGTGTTATGTGGGGAGGATGGGAGGGCTAACCTCATGAGTCAGGATAAGTATAAAATATCAATTTTACTCAGAAAATTACATATTTTTCCTTATCCTGACTCATGCTCTTTTGCTTGTAGAATCCTCCAGAGTGGAGGTGGGTATAAACAGAATACTTTGGATTTATAATTAGTGATTTAAATAACTTATACTGTAATAACCCCTGCGGGAACTTCATAAAGGCATTGACTTAGGATATTTCCTGTATAATAACCATAGGTTATATATTATCATAACTGGGGTATTACATTATTCATATACTGATATATCAAATTATATATATATAGATATAAAAGCGACTCTGATAGAGAAGCTGTATAACTGAACATAAACTCAGTATGAGCTTAAGGTTAAATAACCTAAGCTAAATATATACATAGCCCTAGAACTCCGTGGAGTTATAAGCTAAACAATGTATGTATAATATACATGATAATCTCGTGGGGGTGAATATTAACGCCTACGAGGGACTGTCAGTTGCTGAGCGAGGACCAAAGGACCGAAATGGTGAATGCCAGAGACGTCCTCGGTGGTGATATCTCTCAGATAGTGATTAGCAAACACCATGTTAGATTTCCAGAAGCATCCTTCCATAATTGTATTCAATGAACAGTTACCGTGAAGGGCGAGGGTGGAAGCCAATGCCCTGATTTCATGGGGATTTGATGCTGTTGGAGGGTCCAGTCCTGCTGCCTTGTAGGCGCGTAGAATGACAGTCCTTATCCATATAGATATGGTGGTACGAGAGACTTCTGTCTGATTAGTAGGCGATAACGGGATGAACAATCTTCTGAGCGATCTTCGCCTTGTTTTGGAACGACGTAAATAGATTTTGAGAGCTCGTACTGGGCATAGCGATAAGTCCAATGTATCTTGAGATCCGAGAATCGAGGATAGTGCAGGGACGTGAAATAACCTGTCTGGTTGGCCTGGTAGTTGATTTTTGGCGATGAAATCCCATCTTAATCCCAGGTGCGCTGTGTTTTGATTGTCATCAAACTGTATCCTCTCATAATCTAGAGCGTGAATTTCAGATATTCTGGCTGCCGTGGCTAGCGATAACAGGAAAATTGTTTTCTGTGAGAGAAATTCAAAGGTTGTCGATTCCAATGGTTCATAATCCTCACTTGTGAGGTGTTGTAGCACTACATTCAGATCCCAAGCTGGGGCGTGGAACTTCCGCTTTTGGTCCTCCAATCGGAAAGCACGTAGTAAGGCCAGTAACTCTGGTGTTTTTGTCAATTTAACACCCGTTCTCATAGAAATCACAGAACTAAGCGCGGCAAGATATGTGGACAATGTCGAGCCTTTTAAATGTTTGTTTTGCCGTAAGTAACACAAATAGTCTGCCACTTGAGGATGCGTAGCATCTCTTGCTGTAAAACCCTTGTTTGCTGCGTAATTTTCGAAACTGTGCCACTTGTCGTCGTACAAGTTACGAGTTGAGTATCGTAAGGCAAGCGTGACCGCTTTTGCCGCCCTGGTAGAATATCCTCTCTTGTTTAAACACATTTTAATACAGTCCATACGTGAAGTTTGAATACTTCTGGGTTTCTGTGCACCTGTTTGGTGTGTGGATGTATTAACAGCTTTGAGCGCTTGGGTAGCTCTAGTGCCGGTTGACCGATTTCTTGTATTAGAGCGGGAAACCACGTTCTGGCCGGCCAGTAGGGCGCGACCAAAATGAGTTGTAGGCTCTGTGTTTGACTGATTTTCTGTAATACTTGAGGTATTATTGCTGGGGGCGGAAACGCGTACGCATTGAGGCCTTCCCATGATATGCTTAGAGCGTCCGTTGCCCATGCTTGTGGGTCTGGAACTGGTGACACGAATGTCGGTAGTTGATTGTTGAATCTTGTGGCGAATAGATCTACTAGCGGCGCTCCTATTTGCTTGATTATCTGTGCAAATATCTCTGTATTGAGCATCCATTCTGTCGGCGACGGTAGATGTGGCCGAGAGAGTGCGTCTGCTAGTATATTCCTGGCTCCGGGAATGTGGCATGCTTTGACATGTAGATTTAGATCTTGGATTAATTCGAACAGTTGAAAGGTTAAAGTCAAAAGGTTCGGCGATCTCGTTGAGCCTTGCCTGTTCACATAGAACGCCACTGTCGAGTTGTCGGTATGTATCATTAGGTGCGCATTCTGTAGGATGTTGCTCCAATGTCTTATGGCGTTGATTACAGCTTTCATCTCTAATGCGTTTATGTGGAGCTTCCTTCTAGCTGATTCCATAACCCTGATGCCGTCCGGTTGGTGAGATGAGCTCCCCAACCTTGGAGCGACGCGTCTACATATAGATGGGTTTTGAATTCCTGCTCTGCTAAACAAATCCCTTCGCAGACATTCGATTCCTTGGTCCACCATAGTAGATGAGGTCTGAGATGTTTCGGTAGACTGAATGGTTGTAGGTCGTCGAGATGTGTGTTGATGAAGACCTGTAAGGGATGTAACTGTAATCTGCCTGTGACTGTCAAGTCTTGGGCTGATGTTAGAAGACCTAGTAAGCTCTGCCATTGTCGAAGTGGTAGCGGAGAGAGTAGGGCTGGAGGAATGGTCTGTTGGATCTTGAGCCAACGGTCTTCTGGTACGACTATACGGTTGAGATTGGTGATAAATCGAATGCCTAGGAACTGCAGATCCTGCGATGGTACTAGGTCCGACTTGTGTAAGTTTACTAACCATCCCAGCTGTGTTAGTAGCTTTATGATGTAGTTTAACTGTAGTTTGAGATGCTGTGGATCTTGATCTACTTGTATCCCGTCGTCGAGGAAGAATGCACTGCGTAGCCCTTGACGATGTAGATAGGTGACAATCGGTTTCGTTATCCTCGTGAATAACCATGGGGCTGATGATATTCCGAATGGGAGTACTTTCCACTGGTAATGTAACCCGTCTAGCGTAAACCGTAGGTATTTCCTGGATTCGGGATGTATAGGGATGTGCAGATAAGCATCTTGTAGATCTATACTGCCCATGTAGTCCATAGGGCGAATCATGTGCCGTAACTGCGGTAGATGTATCATGCGGAACCTCGGTGGTCTGCGTAGATAAGTCTTGTTGAAGAAGCTCATGTTGTAAATGAGTCTGTATTTCTCCTTGGAGTTTTTTTGGGTACTAGGAAAACTGGGGAGTAGAAACCTGGTTCGATGTTTCCTTGATCTATTACTTCTATGGCCTGCTTGGTTAGGAGTAATGTAACAGCCTCTCTTAACTTTGGTAGTTGCTGTGCCTGTATGTCGAACTTGTGAGGGTTGACTGTTAGTGGAGGCTTGGCCTGTAGTGGGATACGAAATCCGCGTTGAAGAATGTTGGAGACATAGGTGTCTTGAAGCATTCCCCAGTTTTCCCAGTGTAGTTGGAGACGTCCACCCACTTGTGACGGTTGTACTGGAACGGCTGGGGGGTGGAAGACTCCAGTCGTTCCGAACCTGTCTTTCAGCGTTTATAGTTGCGGGAACCTCTGGGTGTCCTGCCTCTTCCTGACCCTCCTCTATAGTTGCCATATGGGCGACGAAAAGAATCTCTTCCCCTGGAACTGGCTATCTTCCTGTCTCTTGCTCTTTGTAGGCCCGTGAATTTAGATCTCCCTGAGTATCTTTGTGAAGTCTGTCGAATGACACTGGCTAGCGTGTCCATCGATTTAATCATCAGGACTTCTCTGGAATCCTTGGTGACTTCCTTGGAGACTTTGTCTATTCCTCCATCAAAGATGGATGGGGAAGACCACGGGGCTGTATATAGTGGAGCTGTAAAGTTCTCACCCCAGTTGCAGGAAGCGAGGAGGCCTTGACGACGAGCTAAGGTCAGTGCTGCTGAGACAGACGTGAGATGATCTGTTAAGAACTGCTGGTCCTTCTTTTGCATCAGTAGGGCCGAGTAAATCATTCTATCATCTTCAGAGGTCGTGTTACGAAATCTGGTGATAAGTGTCTCATTTATTGTTCTAGATCTATTTAGACCAAAGAACATACGCCTCGTCATGGTTTCTATCTGAACCAATTTTCGATCATCAATCTTGTAGTACTTGTTCTTGGCATCGGAGATCAGCTTGTAGTTCTCATCGATGTCTTGCGCCTTGAAGAAGGGGTCCATATTGTGCGTGGAGAACTTCTTGGCGTGAAAGTTTGGCAGATGTGGTGTCTGAACCTTCGTGGCTTTGTGAAATGCTGTATCTAGGTTCTGTGGTACCGCCGCAATCGGGTCGATTGGGGGTAGTGTAATAGCATCTGCATCGTCCTCTTTCATCAGGTATGTCTGCGCCGTATTGCCACTCTTGGAAGGTGATGAGAGATCTAGATTATTGACCATCCAATATCTTATCTCTGCATCTGAGAAGATAATTCCTCCATCATCTTCCATTCCATCATCATTAATGAGAGGTTGTTGCTCTTCTGATGTAGGACTGTGTGGCTCTATCTCTATATCGTTTGACGCTTGTGGAGATCTAGTTGTAGGCTTGTGTGCAGACCTGTGAGGTGATCGACGTGGTGATGTACGTGGAGATCGGTGTGGTGATCGGCGAGGCGATCGTCTTGGTGATCTACATCGATAGGTTGATCTTCTTGGAGACCTATGAGGGGACCGTTGGTAGCTTCGCGAAGCTCTTGTGTAGTCCCTCGATGTCCTTTTAGATGATGATGACGATCTGGATTCAGGTGTCCTTCGCGAACGCCTTCGCGAAGCTTCCTCTGCGTCCGGTCCTGGGGAACGGTGATATGACCTTCGCGAAGGCTTCCGTGAGGTCTGATGATCAGATTCCAGTATCTGAGTATGACGCCGAGGAAGGTGATGATCTTTCCCGCCAGCGAAGGCCTTAGCGAAAGGTTGTACATCTGGGTCCTTCGTCGAGGTGGTTTTGCGACTTCCTTCGGCCGCGAAAGCGCATCGTCGTGGCTGCCACGTTGACGGGGTGCCTCTGGGTGCTGTTACGTTGGAGCCTTCGGGGCTCGGACCCTGGGATGGCTGCTTCTCCAGTCTGTAGTGGCCTTCCATCATGATCATGATCTGCTTCATTAGATCGTCTGGGATGATCTGCGACGTAGTAGATGGTGCCCTCTCTGCGCTGATAGCGGTGGGGCCCTCAGCGATCTCGTCTGACATCAGTGTAGAGGCATCAGGCTGCATGGTGATCTCTGCTGAAGTCACTGTCGCTGTTACTGGTCGCTTCTTGTGGCGTATGTCGGGTATGATGATTGGCTGGTCATCGTAGAGGCCCAATTCTGCTGCTGGAACGATCTCGGCTGAGAAAGTTCTCGCCGACTTCGTAGATTTCCCTTTGGAGGATGACGCTGCCCGGGGGGTACGAAGTCTGCGTTGAGAAGACGTTGAGGCCCTCTTGGACTTTATCTGCGATGACGGGATGTCTGGGGAGGCCGGTCGCTTCTTAGAGGTGACGGACTGCATCCCACGTCCCTCTTCCGATGGGGTCTCAAGCAGAACACCAGACGGGAGGGGATCGCTCGACAGCAGCTGACTGGATGGGAAATCCGATGTATCGGCCATGTCTACACCTAGTTTGCGTGACCTATCTGCAACACGTCTCAAGACGCAAAGATGGTATTTATTAAAGGCAGAATTGGTTAAATTAATGCAGTAACTGCAACGTGAATCAAACGCACAAGGCGTAGTACAACTAGGGCATACTACATGCGGATCCGCAGCGGAAAAACGTAATCTACAAATAGTACAGTTTTTCATCAACGTAATACTAGCTGAACAATCACGAACTCACGTGAATAAACAGTAGAAATACGATTAATTATCAATGCAAATTAATGAAGGATACTAGCTATACCTCTATAGTAAACTATAAGAGGTAACTAACTAAGAAAATCAAAGGATATAGTGTGTAAGGAGACACAGGCGCTCTCGCATCCTGCTCACTGGGCGAAGAAGGAGAGAGTGAAGCATGAGGCCAGAGGGTGGCGACACCTGTTCCCGCGCTTACGGCAGGGGAGGCAACTCTTGGGTGAGTACCAATTAGTGATTTTACATTGAAGGGAGCTTCAATTAAGGAGATACAAGTTTTCCACTATGTTCGCAAGAGGAAGGGGACAAGCAAAAGAGCATGAGTCAGGATAAGGAAAAATAATATATAATAATCATAAATATATACGCTAAGTATAAATACATATTTAATTATAGATTACTGATTTAAATTGCAAATGTATGTCTTAATTGCAAAATATTATACCTCTGTGGTTTGGGATCCTTGAACTGAAACAGTTTTCCTTTGTTGTGGGGGGGAAAATATTGGATCACCATCCTTTGAGCCACATTCAAAATGACATGAACAAATCCTGTCATTCTCGAATGTTGGGCATCTGTCGAGCCTTCTGAAATTACAGAATAATTTAAAATAACAATTAGAACCTATTAAGCCTATCCATTATAAAGGTTGAAATACTTCCAATAGCATATGTTGTATGGTATCATTACACGAGATCCATGACAGTGCATTTGTGTGTAAATCAAACGTCTAGAGTCAATTTAGTACAGCCAGTACTGTAGTATTTTACATTTTTATCCCATGGCTATCTGATTCGAATTATTGACAAAGAATTATCCATTAACTGACAAACTACATAGGTGTTAATACATGAAAATTGTACAGCATAGTTTGTGTAGGCGTTCTAGTCAGCATGGTAGTAGGGGTAGGGATCCTAGATTAATGTGTAATGTTGCTTGATGATGAATAATCTGAGAACCTGTAGTAGATCTAACATTATAAAAGTGTTTCATGTAAAAAATGTATCAAAATACACATGCATTGCGTTAAAAATGACTTTGAAAGGTGTTGAGAATTAACTGTTATCTGCGTGAAGGGAGGTAACTCTTGTACCTGCCTGTTATAGTTGGTTTATTCACTCACATAAAAGTAGACAAAACGAGATCTAAGTTCCAAAATAATACAACCTATGTTTTCTTGAAATGTATTGTCACCTCAATACACAATGAGAATGTGTTTGTAGAATGTTAAAGTACTGTTTAAGGGAGAATAAAAACCACCAAACTCAGCCCAAACAAGTCCATGGCCCACCACTGCATGTCGACTGCTTCTGCTGATATTTCTTTACAACTATTAATGAATGACTTGGTCATCATTACCAATGGTTACACAGTGACCTCAGAAGAATAGTATTTAGAGTTACATCCCCTTACTTTCTGGACAACTTATGTTATTGCAATCATTCCTTATCCACCTCAAAAGAATGGAATATCAACTCATTGTTTGCAACCAAAAAAGCAGATAATGTGAGAGTTTAAATCATGCCATCTCAGTATAGTATAAATATGTATTTACCAAACAGATAACATGATGTTACCATGGCCCCACATATTTGTGAATTCCCTATCTAAACCAGTTACCAGTGTGTTTATGTACTAATTTCCTTAATTGTCATAAAATAAAAGTTTTCATTAATTTGTAGTTTTTGAACTTTGGAAAAGTAATAACAGAAAATGCATCTACAATGTTAAGGTTAAATGTTTTCTGTTTAGTTTTATGTTGCTACATACTTAATGGCAGTATACCATACATTTATTGTAAGTAACCTCCTACATAACATTACAACATACTTGATGGCAGTATACCATACATGTATTGTATGTAACCTCCTACATAACATTACAACATACTTTATGGCAGTATACCATACATGTATTGTATGTAACCTCCTACATAACATTACAACATACTTGATGGCAGTATACCATACATGTATTGTATGTAACCTCCTACATAACATTACAACATACTTTATGGCAGTATACCATACATGTATTGTATGTAACCTCCTACATAACATTACAACATACTTGATGGCGGTATACCATACATGTATTGTATGTAACCTCCTACATAACATTACAACATACTTGATGGCAGTATACCATACATGTATTGTATGTAACCTCCCTACATAACATTACAACATACTTTATGGCGGTATACCATACATGTATTGTATGTAACCTCCTACATAACATTACAACATACTTGATGGCAGTATACCATACATGTATTGTATGTAACCTCCTACATAACATTACAACATACTTGATGGCGGTATACCATACATGTATTGTATGTAACCTCCTACATAACATTACAACATGCTTTGATGGCGGTATACCATACATGTATTGTATGTAACCTCCTACATAACATTACAACATACTTGATGGCAGTATACCATACATGTATTGTATGTAACCTCCTACATAACATTACAACATGCTTTGATGGCGGTATACCATACATGTATTGTATGTAACCTCCTACATAACATTACAACATACTTTATGGCGGTATACCATACATGTATTGTATGTAACCTCCTACATAACATTACAACATATGGCTTTATGGCGGTATACCATACATGTATTGTATGTTACCTCCTACATAACATTACAACATGCTTGATGGCGGTATACCATACATGTATTGTATGTAACCTCCTACATAACATTACAACATACTGTATGGCGGTATACCATACATGTATTGTATGTTACCTCCTACATAACATTACAACATACTTGTATGGCGGTATACCATACATGTATTGTATGTTACCTCCTACATAACATTACAACATACTTTATGGCAGTATACCATACATGTATTGTATGTTACCTCCTACATAACATTACAACATGCTTGATGGCAGTATACCATACATGTATTGTATGTAACCTCCTACATAACATTACAACATACTGTATGGCGGTATACCATACATGTATTGTATGTTACCTCCTACTACATAACATTACAACATACTTGATGGCGGTATACCATACATGTATTGTATGTAACCTCCTACATAACATTACAACATACTTGATGGCGGTATACCATACATGTATTGTATGTAACCTCCTACATAACATTACAACATACTGTATGGCGGTATACCATACATGTATTGTATGTTACCTCCTACTACATAACATTACAACATGCTTGATGGCGGTATACCAGCCATACATGTATTGTATGTAACCTCCTACATAACATTTACAACATACTTTATGGCGGTATACCATACATGTATGTATGTATGTAACCTCCTACATAACATTACAACATACTGTATGGCGGTATACCATACATGTGTTGTATGTGACCTCCTACATAACATTACAACATGCTTGATGGCGGTATACCATACATGTATTGTATGTGACCTCCTACATAACATTACAACATGCTTTATGGCGGTATACCATACATGTATAATTGGTATGTAACCTCCTACATAACATTTAACCTCCTACAACATGCTTGATGGCGGTATACCATACATAGCATTGTGTATTGTGATGTAACCTCCTACATAACATTACAGCATACTGTGTGGCGGTATATCCTATAACATTACAACATGCCATGCATGTATTGTATGTGTAACCTCCTACATAACGATACAACATACTTTGTAATTATCCTAGCTCCTACATAACATTACAACATACTTGATGGCATGTGTGTGTACCTCCTACCACAACATAGCATGTATGTTGTATGTTACCTCCTACATAACAGTTACAACATATGTGGCTCCTGCATTGTATGGTATACCATGCATGTGACATGCTGGCGTACCATGCATGGCATGTACTTTGTGTATGTATGTTACCTCCTACATAACATTTACAAACATGCTTTATGGCGGTATACCATACGTGTATTATATGTTTACCTCCTACATAACATTACAACATACTTGATGGCGGTATGCCATACATGTATTGTGTAACCTCCTACATAACATTCATACTTTGTAACGGTATACCATATATGTGTGTAACCTCCTGCACATAACATTACAACTTATGAGCGGTCCACCATACATGTATTGTATGTATACATAACATACAACATACTTGTCTCCCCATTCCTTCCATGTATTGTATGTAACCTCTTTACATCACTACAATATACTTGATGACGGTATTCCATACATATATGTATGTAACCTCCTACATAACATTGCCACTTGGTGGCGGTATACCATACATTATGTAACCTCTACATAACATTACAACCATGGCAATTATACCATGTATTGTATGTAACCTCCTACATAACATTACAACATGCTGATGAGCAGATATACCATACATGTATTGTATGTGGCTTTCCACATAACATTACAACATACTTGTTAACGGTATGCCATACATGTATTGTATGTAACCTCTACATAACGTTACAACTTGTCTGTATGGTGTTATGCCATGCATGTATTGTGTGTAACCTCCTACATAACATTACAACATACTTGATGAAATTATACCATACATGTATTATTATGTGGCATTCCTACCATACAACATGTATTGTGTGTTGTAACCTCACTACATAACATTACAACATGCTTGGTGGCGGTATACCATGCATGTGTGTATGTAACCTCCTACATAACATTACGAGCATGCTTGATGGCGATTATGCACCATACATGTGTGTTGTGTCATGACTATCCTACATAACATTACAACATGCTTGATTGGCGGTATGCCATGCATGTGTTGTGTGTAACCTCCTACATAACATTTACTTCCATATTTCCTTCCATGTATTCCTTGACCTATATTTATTCCATGTGTCCTGTTTCCTCCATATTCTTTATTTGATTATTCCATGTCCTCCCTCTTCCTTCCACCTTCCTTCCATTCCATATTTCATTCCCATTCCATACATGTGTTATGCATATTTATTCTTTATCCTTGATTATTCAAACCTCCATATTTATTCTTTATGCATGTGTGTCCACATGTTAAACCTCCACATATTTCCATTCCATTTATGCCATTCATACATCCATTATTTCTATATTTATTTATCCACTTTTATGGCCGGTTATACCATGTCCATTCCATCCATATTCTTTATTCATACTATTATGTTGGTCTCTTTATTCTTTCTTTATTGTGGTCCATTATTATGTTACCCCTCCATATTCCTTTATGCCATTGTTATACCATGTATTGTATATGGCCTCCATGTTTATTCCACTGTTGTATGTGGTATACCATGCATGTGTTATTATCAATTTTCTTTATTCTTTATGTGTGTGTGTTATGCCATGTCCATGTGTGTATCCACCTCCATTTATTCTTTATACTTTATGGCGTTATACCATACATGTGTTATTTATGTTATCCACATATTTATTCTTTATGCCATTGTGTTATATTACATGTATTCTTGGCCTCCATATTTATTCTTCACTGTGTGTGTCTACCATGCATGTGTTGTGTGTTCCATATTTGTTGGCCATGCATTCATACATGTGTGTGTGTCCACATGTTTATTCTATTTGTGCTGTTGTTGATTATTCATGCATGTGTTGTGTGTCCATATTCTGTGTGTGTGTGTCTCATGTGTGT